CCCACCTCACAGAATCATTGTGCAGTGTAAAATAAGGAGGGTTAGAAAAACAAGCCCACTTCTTCAAGCCCCTTTTCAAAGAATGCAAATGACTTAAAAAAGACAGTTTCTCCTTCCTGCTTCCATCCAAACTCGGTGTGTGGTGGCCCTTTTGGATAAAAGTATTAGGACCTTTATTTTAAAAACAAATAAGGTGTAGACCAGCGAAGATGGCAACGCTCACTTAACCAGCAGCAGACGATGACACAGTTGAGCTCACCTGACCTCTGTGTCATGGGCCAGGAGTCTGCTTCACCTGCTGAACAGCAGCCTGAAGGGGGAGAAGGTGGAATGACTCCACCTGCAGCTGATCAGCAGTCATAGAGAGAAGGCACTGGTGAGAACCAGCTGGCTTTGGCCTTCATAAAGAAAGCATTCAGCAGCAGCCAGGTGCTGCAAACAATGCTGTAGTTCCTGGCTCTTCCTTGCTGCTTCCTGCTGGATCCTTGGCTCCCTGATCTGGACTTCCTGACTTATGGCCTGGACCTTTGGCTCTGTGATCATCTGGATTCCCTGACCTCTGTACTGGACCCATGACTCTGTGATCAACTGAACTCCATGACCTCTGGACTGTACCCTTAACTCTGCTACCATAAGGGTTCCCTGCTCTCTGGACTAGACTCATGACTCTGTGATCATCTGGACTACATGACCTTTGGGCTGTCGGACTTCGTATGTGGATTCTGCTCTCAGGAAAGTGTTCCTCGGAGACTCCTAGCCACTGCTTGCTGAGCAATGAGATTCAGACAGGGCTACAATACTCTGATCGGTTCTGTTGCTGTTGCTTTCCTGGGAGTGGAGGAACACCAGCAAGGTCAGCACAGTGCAAAGGCACTAGCAGAACCAACCTGGTGTTCCTGCCAGTGCATTTGCAACGCACCAGCAGTAGGAATAACAATGCAACTGAACAAAAGTGGTAGTAGAGTTTTGCTTTCAAAATGGATATTCTATAGTCCTAGCAAACCTTATTTTGACATCTTTAAGAGGGACATTTTTAAGAGGGAGACTTCCTTTCTAACACTGAGCAATACCTCCTTGTATTTATCAGACACATTAAGAGAGAGACACCTTCCTTCACGAATCTCCAGAAAAGGCACCTTCACAGCAGCTTTGCAATAATTCAAGTTTAACTGACTGGAGAAAAGTCAAAACCATTTTTAAAGCAATAATAATAATCTTTAAATCAGCTGACAGCCTTACTTATGAGTTCAGAGCACGGTTAACAAATAGCTCGGGAGTGATTTACCAACAGCGAGCCAGGATGAGGGATTGGTGATTCAAATTTAGGGAAGGGGGTGGGTGGCTGTGAAAATGAAGGATAGCATACATTCTTCAAGATATGTTGGCTTGCGTAACCTTGCAAACTTTTAGGAGGAAAAAAGCACACGCAGAGAGAGCTTTTCAATTAAACGAGATATTTAAAAGTGTCACGAAAATGGTTCTTCTTGAAGGAACACTGATTCATGTTTGTGTTTTTACTTGTAGATTGTCTTTCTATCACGCAAACATCTGGTTTCGCTTGCACCAAATAAATTTGTTCACATTTATATTCAAGATACCAAAACATTATTAGTTTCAGAAATAACAAATAGGGGGAGGGGGGAGGAACAGCAGCGCTGAAAGGAGCTGGAATACTACAAAATCCAAGAGGCCGTAACAGGCAGAGTCACTTATGACGATGACTCACACTTTTAGGAAAAGGAATTGGTGCATTTATTGCTTTGAGAAAAGGGCGTTTATTGGGTCTTTTTAAAAAAATCCCACATTTTTTAAAACACCTGCCCGTGAGCACAATCGCATGAATGTAAAACAGCTGGGGTGGCTAACCTCCAGTTTTGGGGGAGCTAATCGGACTCATGTTGACTGGGGCTGATGGGAATTGTGGTTGGGGGAAGGCTGTGCTACACCTTTTGAAAGAGGGAGCAGCAAAAGTAAGCGGGGAGTCTTTGGGGAGGGCGTGCAGGGTGGGGACACTTGCCAGAGTGCCAGGTCTATAAATTTTGTCCTAAAGGGCAAAGGTCTGCACCACTGGCGGCAGCAGAGGGGGGACAAAGTAGAGAAAGGATTTCTTCCTTTTGTGCCCCATGCAGGCTTTCTGTGGAAAGACCCGTCTCCTTGCCTGCTCCAGGAAGAGGAAGGAGAAAATGGCAGCGGCTTCCAAGATGATGTGGATAGGCCATAGCCAACCACATCATGTACATGTTTTAGCAGGAACATAAAAGAGGAGTCTGGTCCTGATGTCAACGTGGCATGGGAGAAAGGGGGGGAAAGATGTGCCATAGACCTGCAGCCCATGTCTGGTCATTCCTTATGTTAATGACCAGGTCTCACTTATTAGAAGAAGCAGGGAGGTGGCCACCAACCTAGAATCTTCCAAGTGCCCCTATTTTCCAGGGACAGTCCCGGACTTACAGAAACAGCCCCGCTTCCTGTTTTGATCCTGGAATGTCCCGCTTTTCCTTAGACAGGGGTCAGCAAATTTTTTCAGCAGGGGGGCGGTTCACTGTCCCTCAGACCTTGTGGAGGGCCGGACTATATTTTGGAGGGAAAAATGAACGAATTCCTATGCCCCACAAATAACCCAGAGATGCATTTTAAATAAAAGCACACATTCTACTCATGTAAAAACACCAGGCAGGCCCCACAAATAACCCAGAGATGCATTTTAAATAAAAGGACACATTCTACTCATGTAAAAACAAGCTGATTCCCGGACCATCTGCGGGCCAGATTTAGAAGGCGATTGGGTCGGATCCGGCCCCCAGGCCTTAGTTTGCCTACCCATGCCTTAGGACATCTCCATTTTCACTGGGGAAATGTTGGAATCCTGCGACCCCCAAGCCAAGGAGATAAGTAACTATACAACCTTTAGAAGACATCTGAAGGCAGCTCTGTACAGCAAAGTTTTTAAATGTTTAATGTTGGAAGCCACCCAGAGTGGCCGGGATAACCCAGTCAGATTTACAGTGAATTTATTGTTGTTATTACTGTGGAATAGGGCGTTCCTATTTTCATCAGAGAAACATCGGAGGCTGTGCCCACCTTTTCTAAGAAGGGAAATGCAGGATCCGCCACACAGGGTATGGTTTTGCCACCCCTCTAACCTGCCGCCCGGGGCACATGATCCCTCTCATGACACCCACATCCCCCAATCTGCATCTGGCCACTGGTGAGAGGGTTAGTCACCACCAACAAGCAGATTTACAGAACCACCCTGCCTGCAGTTTCTCAAAAAGATGTACATGACAACATTATATTTCCAGCCAGAAGGCCAACAGATGAAATAAACGAGCAAGAGCTCCTTTACGGGAAGAAGAAATGTTATACAACCGTGTGCTGAGGAGAAAACACACAAAGGAATAACGATTTTGGAGCTCAACAGGTAGAAGACAGCGAAGTCTGCTCCAGAGAGCTACTTTTCTGCCAATTAGAGTTGTTCTACGCACCCCCTGCTTGAGAACATGATGCACAGGCAGCAAAAGGAGACTATCAACGCTCACCCGTGTGGTCTAAAAGCAGGACGGTGCACAGGGGCTCAATACATTGGAGTCTTTTGTAAACACTTATTAAGAGACTCATCTACCTCTGCGGGTCAGTCTCCTAAATGAAATGACTTCTTTTTTTTGGCTAAGAAAAAGGTAAGATGCATTAGTCACCAATCGTTGGAGCCGCAAAGAATACAGCATCAACAATAAGCATTTATCAATATTTATGTCTCAAGCATCGCCTTTCTATACAACTGTACCCCACCAGCAGTGTTCTTTTCCTCTCGGTTTCAAATGAAATGACACAAGAGGCGGCCGGGGGCGGGGAGCTGTATAATCTGTGAACATTGTAAGCTATGAACGTTTGCTAGGTGGGGGCGATGCATGAATCTGCCCCCCACCCCGCTCCTCATACCATTGCAGCTGAAGACGTGGAGAAGCCATCAATGGAGATTGCAGCAAAGCCCTGAGATGCCACACATCTCATCTTTGACAAAATGAGGTATCTGACCACAATGCCGAGGCGAGTGCTGGCCCTTCGGCAAAACGAGGCCTGCTGTATGGGCAGGATCCCTTCTTTACCCAGTAGGTCACTGTAGTCTGCAGGAGACCATCTCCCGCAAGTTCCAAAGAGATCAGAAGCCCGTTTCACCGAAACTCAAGAGCAGGCCTTTCAGCTGTGAAATGGCATCCCTGTCGGAATACAACGGGCACCTGCTACTGGCACTTTTCTGGCAACAAGTAAAGACTTTTTTTTTCCCCGACAGGCTTTCCCAGCTGGATAAATAGGTCTCTGCTATGAGTATCTACTTTTTACATTTATCTGCTGTCATTTCCTAAGATTTTTTTAAAAAAACCTGATTTTATTGCATTTTGGACACTGCCTTGAGACATATGGGTGGAAGGCGATAAATGATGGTGGCGATATAGGAGACGAGAGCTCTGACGTTTCTTCAACAAAGCATCAAAATGAGACCAATGAACTGTACCTGTATTGCTAGCCCCGCCCAAAGCAGGCCTAGGCTCCGCCCATTGCCTGTAACAACTTAGGGTCACTTAACCACATATACGCCCCCCTAGAACAATTCAGTCCGTGGAACTGGTACTGTTACAGGTACCACATGATACTAGTTCCCCATTGGTAGGAAACTGACCTTTCAGCTTGGCTTCATCCACACTTTGGAACTCCCTGCCTATTGATATCACTGTGTTCTTTCCGGTACCTACTAAAGACATTTTTTTTTCAGCGAGCCTACCCAGATATGTAGAATGATAATGTTTGTTTTAATCTGTTTTTCCGCTTGCCGCTGAGTTCTTTTTTGAAAGTTTAAAGTTAGTGTATTTATGGATAATTTAACTGTTTTATTCTTTTTGTAAACCACCTTGAAGCTGTTGAGTTTGTTTGTTTTACAGTCGAGCAGTGTATAAATTTTCTGAAAACTAAAATAAAATAGTCATCCATGCCACTGTCCTTACCTTGGCTTGGACTGCGTAAGAGGCAAGGAGAACAGATGCCTCTGGGGGACAGGAAATCTTCTCATCCAATATCTGCTTCTTCACCTGAATAAAAAAAAGCAGGAGCTATAGCGCAGCTAAGAAAGACAAACCCAGCAGACAGCCACAATGATTTCCTTTTCAAAGCGTCTACTCAGTGGTCGGCAAGGTTTACCTCACCTGGGCCGGTTCACTCCAGCAGAGATCCCTCTGTGGGCCGGATTGCACACACGCCTGTGATTTCCAGCGCCTGCGCAGATGTGATTTTCTGCGCCGTGGAAGCGAGTCGCTGCGCTGCACCGATTTAGCGCAGCGGACGGGGACTCACCAGGCAGGTGGCTCAGTTTGAGGGTGGCTCGTGGGCCGGTTAAATGATCCCCATGGGTGGCTTGTGGCCCATGGGCCTTTGGTTGCCGACCCCTGGTCTAATCTATGTATACAACCAAGTCTGGATCCAACCCCAAATTGATGCTGCTCCCGCCCCGCCCCCCTTTTAAACATGCAAAATATTGTTGGCACAGCGAGGTAGGTCACTGCTCCCATTTTACAGAGGGGGAAATGGTGGCTGAGAGGCAGCAACTTAACCCAACATCCCATAGAAATATCCACCTGAAGCAGGAATAGACCAAGCCTTCTTCCCTGACCCAGGCACAACATTGTAAACTAGGGCAGGGAAATGCAGTCCTCTAGACCTTGGGACTCTCCCAAAAGCATGCCACACCCAACACTGGTCCCCTTCCACATCCTTTGCAAGTCACATTGGGATGTGTCCTTCAACTGTAATAACATCTTCTCTTCCTAGATGGTGGGGGGGGTGTAAAAGCCTCTGATTTCTTATTTATATATTTATTGCATTTATATCCCAGCTTTTACTCCAAGGATCTTAAGGTGGCATACATGGTTCTCCTCTCCCTCCTCATTTAATCCCCACCACACCCCTGCAAGGTAGGGTAGGCCAAGAGGCAGTGACCAGCTGAATGAGGATTTGAACCTTGGTCTCAGGCTGAAGTCCAACCCTGTAACCACTATAGGTAAAGGTAAAGGGACCCCTGACCATTAGGTCCAGTCATGACCGACTCTGGGGTTGCAGCACTCATTTCCCTTTATTGGCCGAGGGAGCCGGCGTACAGCTTCCAGGTCATGTGGCCAGCATGACTAAGCCGCTTCTGGCAAACTAAAGCAGCACACGGAAACGCCGTTTACCTTCCTGCCGGAGTAGTACCTGTTTATCTACTTGCACTTTGACGTGCTTTCAAACTGCTAGGTTGGCAGGAGCTGGGACTGAACAACGGGAGCTCACCCCGTCACGGGGATTTGAACTGCCGACCTTCTGATTGGCAAATCCTAGGCTCTGTGGTTTAACCCACAGCGCCACCTGCGTACCTAACCACTATACCACGCTGGATTATGGATTACTGTGCAAAGCTAAGGCTCACACCCACAGCTCCGCCCGCTCTGACCCTGGAATCCCAGAACTGGAACTGTAGAGTTGGAAGGGACCCCAAGGGACATCTTGTCCAACCCCTTGCAATGCATCAGAATTAAACCCTTAAGGGCTCCTTTTCAGATGCTTTTCAAAGTCAGAAACAACAGCTGCCTCCTGGCTGCCAAAATATGCAAAGCCTCCATTCCAACTTGAAAGTACTTTTCCCTCCCGCTGGGTCAGGCAAACATGAGTCTCCCTTACAAAACACCTACTTGAAGGAAAAATAGGTGCTGAGTGATGTCCTGAACGAGCTCGTCCTCTGCGTTCTCTGGGTAAAACTTGGCCAGGAAGTGAAAAGTGACCGGCTCCTCCTTTGGAACATCGTGGTCCAGGACCTGCAGAATTAGATCTCCCTTTTAATCTCTTGGAAGAATGTATGAAAAGCCTTGACCATCACATTTAGTTTCTGAACACAGAACAGAGCAGACCAAACTCCAGCAACTGTTCAGAGGCACAAAGCATTATGCTGCAGCCAAGATTCAGAAGACACATACGTCAATAATACTAATAATAATTTGTTATTTATACCCCGCCCATCAGGTTGGTTTTCCCCAGCCACTCTGGGCGGCTTCCAACAAAATATTAAAATACAATAGTCCTTCAGATATTAAAAGCTTCCCTAAAGAGGGCTGCCTTCAGATGTCTCCTAAAAGTCTGGTAGCTGGTTTTTCCTTTGACATCTGGTGGGAAGGCGTTCCACAGGGCGGGCGCCACTACCAAGAAGGCCCTCTACCTGGTTCCCTGTAACTTAGCTTCTGGCAGTGAGGGAACCGCCAGAAGGCCCTCGGTGCTGGACCTGTTTAAAGCACAGGACTTCTCTCAAAGAATCCTGGGACACTGAAGTTTCTTAAGGATACTGGGAATTGTAGTTCTATGAGTGGCAAACTACAGTTCCTGGGATCCTTTGGAGGAAACCACATTTTTCAAATGTGCCTGGGATGTGCTTTATCCTTATTGTGTGGGTCAGTCCTTCATTCTCTTAAAGGAATATTTAATAATTCCCCTACTAGATTGCTTTGCCCCATATACACCCACTCAACTCCTTCAATCGGCAAAACTGGCGCTTTTACAGGTGCCATATAATACCCATTCCGCGTGTGGTAAGACCTCCACTTTGGAACTCCCTGTCTATTGTTATCAGGCACGCACCTTCACTTTTCGGGTCCTTCTAAAAACACTTTTGTTTCAGCAGACCAACTCAGATGTTTTGAAAACTGATGTGAGTTTAAATCTGTTCTCAGCCCATTGCTATTTTCACTTTTTTAAAGTCTTACGATTGGAGCTGTTAATTTTTCTTTTTGCTGATTATTGTTTAATTGAAAACCATGTTGAGGGATTTATTTACAATCAAGCAGCGTATAAATTTTATGAAATAAATACTCAGCAATGGGTATTTAAGATTTCCTGATATGCTCCCCTGGCGCAAGAGCTGGCCTGCGGATCTGCCCCCCATGTGCTTTCTAGGCCTTTCTAAACATTTAGACACACTCAAGACTTTTTACTATTTTTCCAGAGAAACTGGACATCCACCAATAAAGATTTCCTCGCTCTTATCTCAGTGTGGCCTTGCTCTTTATTTTCCGCAATGCTTTTGATACTCGGAGCCTCCCTAGTTAGGAAACTGCAGTGTAGCTTAAAGCCCCAGGTCGCTAGTTAAGACATAAGCATTTGCTTGGCACCACACCGCTGCCTTCGACAGATTTTGTAGCAGACAGTGCAAAGTCCCATCAGTCAAGGCAAACACATCCAGCTAGAGGGAACGGTGCGCTGAGTAAACACTCTTAATGCACAACATACGTCTGGTCCCGAAATGTCATCCAACTTCAGCTGCCTGGGAACAGATTAAGGAGAGGAAAGCCATCTCGGAGCAAGCTTCCCCAGTGAGAATTAGCCAGTACTACATGCAGCTCAGATATGCTAGCCTTGACTTATAGTTAACACTCAGGCTTACTGTGCAAAAGTTACAGCTGAGCTACAGGAATGAACTCACAGCCACTTGCTACCTAGGAATCGGAGGCAGTAATCTTATGGCTAGTTTACTAAGAAGCTGGTCCCCATGGAATCCATGAGAAAGTAAGAAGAGCCTGCTGGATCAGGCCAACAACCATCTAGTCAAGCATCTTGTTCTCACAGTGGCCAACCAGATACCCATGGGAAACCCACAAACAGGACTTGAGCACAAGAGAACTCTCCCTTCCTATATTCAGAATCACTGTTGCCTCTGCATCTGCATCTCTCCATCCTGGCAAGCAGTCATTGATAGTCTTCTCCATGCATCTGTCTAATCCTCTTTTGAAGCCATCCAAGTTGGTGGCCATCACTGCTCCCTGTAGCAGCAAGTTCCCTAGTTTAACTGTACGTTGCAGGAAGAACTCCTTCCTTTTCTCTGCCCTGAACCTTCCAACATTCAGCTCCGTGAAATGTCCACAAGAATGTTCCGTCCTTACCTTCTTATCCATCTTGAGCCACGCCATTGTGTCTTTGATCATGTATTGCAGGCCAAAGAACCACGTTTCGCGGAGTCCCAGTGTCCTGCACACCAGGTCAAACAGGTCCTTTCCTTTCCACTTGACCTGCAGAAAAGGGAAACAAAAGTTACAGCCTCCTGCTCCCAGACACAAGTTCGCTTTGGACGACGTGTGGTCGTGTCCATCGCCACCGCCAGACTGGAAAAAGCAGAAATAAGACCTCCATGGGAGAAGAACAAAAGCAACACAGGGATTGCTTGTACTGTAACATTTAAAGCAGGGAGCTGTGAGTCCTCCAGTTGTTGTGGAAACTAACGCCTAACAGCCCCAGGCAACACGGCCAACAGTTGGAGATTATGGGAGTTGGGGATCAAACAACATCTGGAAGGCTGCAGGTTCCCCATCTCTGATTTAGGGGTTTCCAACTGGGTTCCTGTCTGGTGGGCAAATGCTCCTGCCATCAAGGACGTTGCAGCTGACAATCTCTTGGGTGACTCATACACTGCTCCATAGGACAGCTGTAACTCCATGGAGGAGAAGGCAATCAATGGCTGGAGGAGGATGCAATGCTTTTGAAATGCTGGAAACCACCGGAGGGGAGAGGGCTCTTGGCCTCGGGTCCTCCTTGAGGGTTCCCCGGAAGAGGAATCTCGGTGGCCACTGTGGATACTGGACTTGATAGGCCATTGCCCTGATCCAGCAGCCTCTTCTTATGTACTTATGCAACCCTCAGAAGTTCAGGGGGAGCAGGGAGTGACCTAGGAGAGGGCCTTCTCTTTGGCAACCCCTAAGTTGTGGAACTCCCAAAAGAGGTGCATCTAGAACCTTCCCTATACAACTTTCAGCAAATGCTGAAGATTCCCCTCTTTACCCCAGCCTTTGACCCCTGAGATGTGTGTTTCCAGGGCCTAGCCTATCCCTCTGACTAACTGGTTCTGACTGTTTTCAATTCTGTACTTTAAATTGTTGTAACCCACTCTGGGACTCGCTAGTAAAAAAAATTCAATAAGAACTGCAACAACTATGGAATTCACTAACAAACTGAATGCTTCACTCAAAAATGGTGGGGGGGGGGGTAAAAGAATAACCAGTGGCGTACACATCTCAAAATTTAGTTGCTCTTCTGCAGGGTAGCAATCGGCTAGTCTCTGTGCACTGTTGCAGCAGCAAATTTAGATTTAAGGCTCTAAATCATGCATCCCATTTCATAAGGATATGTATACTCGTTGGGATCCCTGTGTGCTTTCTACCCGGTTAACTTTGCACATCCTCCACTGAATGGAAGTGGCACATTGTAGGTGTTTGGGAAGACATTTTGAGCATGCAGGGCAGCAAGGGAGAAGGAGATGGGTTATGTAAGCAGAGCAATGCTCATAGAAATATGGAGACAGCTAAAGCAACCTGATCAGGCAGTTACCCTGAGGATTAAGCTTTCACTCTCTCTTTAGAGTGGCAATTCCCTTTCCTTCCCGTATATGCATTATTCTTCAATTAAGCAGTTGGAGAGGAGGCATTAAAGCATGGGCTTTTTAATGCTGCGGTTATGGGAAAGCAGGTAACAAAAGGGAAGTATTAGAAAGGAGCAGAGACAGATAACTTTCATACGCAGGGACTGGTTTTGTTATGTATGATTGGGTCCAGGATATCTGGAAGAGATGAACCACGTTTGATCCAGTAGGGCTCTACGTATTTTACTGCATTTATATCCCATCTCCAAGGAGCTCAAAGTGTCATATATGGTTTACCCACCCACCCCTCCTCATTTAATCCCCACAACAGCCCTTTGAACTAGTTTAGGCTGAGAGTGAGCGACTGGCCCCAACATCACCCAGTGAGCTTCATGGCCGACTGAGGACTTGAACCCTGGTCTCCCAGGTCCTAGTCCAACACACTAACCACTACACCACCCTGGCTCTATGTTATGGTCTCTCTCCTCCGCTGTCAGTGGTAGCATGCCTTTGAGTATCAGCTGCTGAGAATCACAAATGGGGAGGGAGTGCTGTTGTGCTGAGAATCACAAATGGGGAGGGAGGCCTATTTGTGGGCTTCCCATCTGGACATCTGGTTGGCCAAAGGCGATCTGGTTTGGGAGAGGAAGATGCTGCACAGGCCAGGCCTTTGGCTTGACCCAGCAGGGCTCTTCTTATATTCTTATGAAGGGAAGATACAGACTTCCTTGAAAACCTATTACAGTCATACCTCGGCTCCTGAATGCCTTGGGAGTCAAACGTTCTGGCTCCTGAACGATCGAAAACCGAAAGTGAGTGCTCCAGTTTTCGAACATTCTTTTGGAAGCCGAAAGTCCGACGGGGCTTCCACGGCTTCCGATTGGCTGAAGGAGCTTCTTGCAGCCTATCAGAAGCCGCGCTTTGGTTTCTGAACGTTTCGGAAGTCAAACGGACTTCTGGAACGGATTCCGTTCGACTTCCAAGGTACGACTGTATTATACTGACATACATCTAGCCAGGACTGAGTTCAGCTTCCCATACCCAGGCTACCCTTACAGCAGTTAGGGGATGAGCTACAGACCCAAGACCACATGCACCCCTTGGCCTAATTTCACAAGCCCTTCCTTGAGACATCTGGAAAGAGTCTTCCATCTCTTCCTCATCAGTCTACTGGGTGAGGAGGGAGGGAGAAGGATGTCAAGGGCCGGAAATCAAATGCCTCAACATCCACCAATGGAGACCTAAAAAGAGCCCTGCTTGATCAAGCCTGTGGCCCATCTGGTCCAGCATCCTGTTCTCACAGTGGCCAACCAGATGCCCCAATGGGAAGCCCAAAAGCATGATTCCAGCACAAGAGCCCTCTCCCCTTCTGTGGTTTCCAGCAACTAGTATTCAGAAGCATTGCTGCCTTCAGCTGTTGAGGCCGAGCTGATGAATTTGTCATGAATTTGTCTAATTCTCTTTTAAAGCCATCTTGGTCTGCCAGTAGTCATCGCCGCCTCCTGCGGCAGCACGTTCCACACTTTAACCATGCTCTGTATGAAGAAGTGCCCTCGCCCCCCCCCCCCCGACAGGTCAGCACTAAGCGAGTGCGGCCCTCGTCAGAAAAAGGCCTTTCAAGGAAAAGGCTGCAGAGTCCCTGAAAGAAAAGTCTCGACAGCAGCAGCCCCAGCTGCCGGATTAACAAGGGGAGGTAGTCCAATAAAGCAAACCCACACGTTCACTTTGGGTTAGTAGGGAGCAGAGAAATTCACCCGGAGTAAGGGAAATTGGAGCAGTCAAAGAAGATGTGGTCTTTCAAATGGCTGCATATCAACAGTACAAAAAGAAAGCTTTGGCTTGTTTAAGAAAAGATGGTACACCAGTAGGAAATAAAGCGAGCGAGATCCTGGTGCTTTTCTACCTCTGGGAATCGATAAAATTGCAGGGAGAGACATATGGCTGCTCTTCTGAAGCATTAAGGCAGGAGGGCCTCCCTCCCACCTTGTCAGTATCTCTCAAGTCTTAGGATCACCGGCATAGTATTCAATATTAATCCTCACACATGGCACAACAGCTCTGCTCCAGCTGCTCTCCCTTCTCCAGCTGTTATTCCACACTGCCCACTTGTGGCTACTGCTCCCCACTGCATCAAAAAGAGGTTTTAATCTCAATTCCTTTTGCCTTGCACCCCCCCCCCTGCGCCAAAATTCTTTCCGGTACCACTGATGTGAATCCCCCCCCCCCAGTGCCTTATTTTCTGGTGGAAAATATTCCATTTCATACGTTCGGGGTGGAGAGGTTGTTCATTACCAACAATGAACAGATGCCAGCTGCAAGCACAGGATGAGTCGAGCTCGGCCATTTCAAAGTGTTTAGCTTCACTTAGTGATTACAAGAGAAATAAAACCGGACAAATTAAGACCGAGGGATGGGAATACCAGCCCTGTGAAGCAGCCACCGTGTGGGTCAGCACTGCCTACGACGCCAAGGGAGGGGAGAATGAATAATGGCTTGTGAACATGTTGGTTTGCTCAGTGGTGGAGGAAGGGAGGCGGGGGGGCGGTCCGTTCCAGGAGCCATCTCTCTCTTTATTTATTTATTTATTGAAGTTTTCAAAAATTTGTATAAAATAGAAAAAACAGAAAACAGAAAAAGCAAAAATACATACAAAACTCATACAACAAGTATAATTTCAATCCCTTATATTCATAAAACTTACTTTCCCGACCTCCTCATGCCTCCCCTTTCTGTATTCCAATTTCTAATTATTTAATTCAGCAAATCCTTCCCCTAATTTCTATTTAATTTTTCACCTTTCTTTTCTTAATTACATAATCATTACAGCTAGAAACCACTTAATTTCTGAATCAACATCGTTCTAACATTCAGTAATTTTACAATGTTTCTTAATCCTTAAATTTCTTCCAATCTTCTTCCGCCGTCTCTCTTCCCTGGTCTCGGATTCTGCCGGTCATCTCTGCCAGTCCCATATAGTCTATAACCTTCATCTGCCATTCTTCCACGGTGGGTAGATCTTCTGTCTTCCAATACTTTGCGATGAGTATTCTTGCTGCTGTTGTAGCATACATAAAGAATGTTCTGTCCTTCTTTGACACCAATTGGCCGACCATACCCAGGAGAAAGGCCTCTGGTTTCTTCAAAAAGGTATATTTAAGTACCTTTTTCATTTCATTGTAAATAATTTCCCAGAAAGCCTTAATCCTTGGGCATGTCCACCAAAGGTGAAAGAATGTACCTTCAGTCTCTTTACATCTCCAGCACTTATTATCAGGCAAGTGGTAAATTTTTTGCGAGCTTGACTGGGGTCATGTACCACCTATAAGTCATTTTCATAACGTTCCAGGTGCCATTTCTGAGGGGGTGACAAGGCACCCTGCAGGGGGCTCGCCCTGCCACCATCGTGCCGCCACAGCCACGTGCAAAGGATCCGCCGCTCGTGGCTGCTGCAGCGGTGGCGGTGGCATCCCACCGCCGTCCATACGGCACTTAAGTGGTGCGATCAGCAAACGGCTGCGCAGCGCATGTGCGGCACCACCACATACTGTGCATGCGCATGCGCAGTACGCAGCAGCGCATGTGCCACCAGGTGGTTTGCCCCACTCCCGGCACCCCACACTGGGTGCTGGTTAGCCTTCCTTTGCCCCTGGGTTTGCT